CTAAAGATCTTCCTGCTTTTCCCTCATATAGCCTCCTCTGTTTATAGTTTCATGACTGTCATAAAAACACCCACCATACCAAGTATTATTCCCGTATTATAGCAGGTAGTTACACAGCTCTTTCAGGTTTCCAAGACAATGGACACAGCAAAATGATGGCCAGCACTGCATGTAGGGACAGATGATCCTTGGAATGGAGCTTCCAAAGAAGCCTGGGACAAGCACAAACTGTAAAGCAGCCTCCTGGAGGCCATAGTCCCTGACACTGGAGTCTAGCATAGCCAGAGCCCGTATGGAAAAATCCAAAGACCTTGACCTGAATTCCAGTTCAGTGGCCCTTATTCACTTAGCAGGTTATTTGGCCTCTGAGCTTTAGACCCTTCTTGTGACATGAGGCTACAGGTCATGTAGCCTGATGAGGTTTAGGACCTTAGGGTCCTGATGAGGTTTAGGTAAGATAATGGAGGTGACAACCCTGGCAGTTAGACAGGGCCTGGAACAGACTATGAGCTCAGTAAAGGAGAGCCATCTCTATCATTACTATGTGAATTATTCTGACCTTCAGAGATGGACCACTGAGGCTGCAATTTTAAATGTGCTATTTGTTGTGCAAAGTACAGGTGAAGCATGATTCTTAGCACCAAACTTGTCACATGCTGCATGTTCAGTAATTATGACCTAATATGACTGTTGTGTTAATGTGCATGGCCACGCAATGGCAGAGCCAGAAGTTAATAATTACAATATTGAAAGTAGCCTCAGGCTACCAAGTCCAATGCCACAACAAGATGTCTTTTTCTACCAGGTTATTTAGGTAACAGTTCAGCCATGTCTGCAGTTTTATAAAAAGAAATATGGTGGGGGCCAGTGCTGTGGTGCACTAGGTTAATCCTCTGCCTGTGGCAATGGCATCCCATATGGGCACCGGGTTCTAGTCCCGGTTGCTCCTCTTCCAGTCTAGCTCTCTGCTGTGGCCCTCCTGTGCAGTGGAGGATGGCCCAAGTGCTTGGGCCCCTGCACCTGCATGGGAGACCAGGAAGAGCACCTGGCTCCTGGCTTCAGATCGGCACAGTTCCGGCCATTGTGGCCATTTGAGGAGTGAACCAATGGAAGGAAGATCTTTCTCTCTGTCTCTCTCTCTGTCTCTCTCTCTCTCTCACTGTCTGTAACTCTACCTGTCAAATAAATAAATAAAAATCTAAAAAAAAAAAAAGAAAAATATGGTAGAAGTTGAGCAGCTCTCACTTGCAGAAAGCTGAAGCTGGGCTTTTTAGTCAGAACAGGACTGTCAAGGATGGTGCTGGCCTAAACTTAGAGAAGGACTAAACAGCAGCAACAAATAAAGTGACTGTAGATGCCCCTCTTTACATTTCTTATTGCTTAGTTAGGCAACTAATGTGCTATGTAGCATTTCCCTAAGTCTTCCCATGAGATCATCCTCTATTAAAGCTTGCAGCAGGACCCTCTCAAAGTAGAGAATGATCACGCCTGGATTTTTAGAAAGTAGGATTCTCAGTGAAGTTCAGAAAATTCCAGAGACATCAGAAAACCCCATACTTTACTAAAGATAACTTAACTCATTAAATCCTATCAGGAAAGTTGGATAGCAGGTTGTAATCTGTTGATAACCTTCAGGTAAAGTAAAAATACTCAAATAGCACTTTCTTATTTTAATCTTGCCTCCATCAAGAACAACGAGGAGCTGAATTACTCACAAAGTTAGCTATGGGTACACAAGTACCCTTTTCAAAATCTTTAGCATCATTTTTTAGAGTGAGTATAGCTGGGAGGCCGGCAGGTACCTAGTTTGAGGATATACCTAAACTGCATTTTTTCCCAGTTTTCAAAATGTGCATGAAGGAACATGGAACTAGAAAGAGTGAGAAAGTAATGAGAAGCCTTTCAATAACTGCATCTGCTCATCGTGTGACCCAGGATTCAGTGAAATTCATGGTGATATACTTTACAATAGATGTGTGTCTGTCAAACAAACACTGGAGGCCCAGCACACTTCTGTTTAGGACCCTCAGTTTCATTTCCTAGGTTATAAGTAGTTGGACCTCTGCACCCACAGGTTCTGCACCATGGATTCAACCAACTGTGATTCAAAAAGTTTGTATGTATAAACTTTTATTCCTTATCATCATTTCCTAAACAATAAACTTTTACCTAGCATTTACATTGTATTAGGTGTTATAAATTTATAAATAATTTATAGATGTTTAAAGTATACAGGAGGATGTATATAGGGTTTATGCAAACACTATGCCATTTTATGTAAGGGACCTGAACATCTATGGATTTTTGTAACATATATCCATGGTGGCAAGAGGAAGGGGAGTATACCTAGAAATAGTCCTCTGAAGATACCAAGGGATGACTGTATTGGGATAAAGAAAAGCATGCACTCAGGGGTTATTAGGTGTTTAGTAGCTTTATAGCCTTGTCAAGTCACTTACTTCTTTGAACCTCAGCTTTCTCATCTGTAAAATGAGGATAATCATACCTGTCTAGCAGGTAAGCATAAGAATTTAATGAGTTCAGGGCCGGTGCCACAGCTCACTAGGCTAATCCTCCGCCTGTGGCACAGGCACCCCGGGTTCTAGTCCCGGTTGGGGCGCTGGTTCTGTCCTGGTTGCTCCTTTTCCAGTCCAGTTCTCTGCTGTGGCCCAGGAGTGCAGTGGAGGATGGCCCAAGTGCTTGGGCCCTGCACCCACATGGGAGACCAGGAGGAAGCACCTGACTCCTGGCTTCGGATTGGCGCAGCGCGCCGGCCGCAACAACCACTTGGGGGGTAAACCAACGGTAAAGGAAGACCTTTCTCTCTCTCTCTCTCTCAATGTCTAACTCTGCCTGTCCAAAAAAAAAAAAAAGAATTTAATGAATTCAAGCATATAAAGAACTTAGTTGTTTTTTGTTAGCCTACAGGTAAATAAAAAATATCTCAGCACCCGATTCTTCAGGAGGAAGAGATTATAAGCATTAGCCTGCCCAGATTCCAGGATAATCATTATTATCAATTGCTTTCCACATGGAAGGCAAGTGAATTTATAGGACTATTAAATTATTAGTAAAGGGTTTGGCCTCCCTCCTCATATTAAATGTAAAAGTGCTCAATAAATGCTAGCTGCTATTACTCTTACTGTTATTATTTACTAATCAAGGGGTTTTTCCTTTTTGATCATGGCTTAGGGAAGCCAACACTGCATAATTATTTATACTTTCTCCATTCCTTACTTAACCTTTGAACCTACAGTTTTTGGAAGGCTACTGGTTTGTTTTCTCAGATGTGTCACTGATAGATTCTCCCAAGTATCCTAAATCACATGGCTATCAGAGCTTACCAAGATTCCTGATCTCCACAATGGGCATCATTGTGCATACTTCACAAGTATCCTTAACTCAGCAGGTGTTTAGCCTACTGGTAAAGACGCTGGTTAAACAGTCATGTCGCAGATCAGATTAAGTGCATTCAATTCCAGGCTCTAGCTCCTGATTCCAACTTCGTGCTAATGTAGACTCTGGGAGGCCTGGTGACAGCTCAAGTAGTTGGGTTTCCATCACCCACGTGGGAGACCTGGATTGAGTTCCTGGCCCCTGGCTCCAGAGTGGCTCAGTTCCAGCTGTTGTAAGCATTTGGGGAGTAAACTAGCAGACAGAAGTGCTCTCTGTTTGTGTCTTTGAATTTCTCTGCCTCTCATAAAACAAAACAAAACAAAACAAAACAAGTATATTTAACTCCCAGGACATTCTCAAAGCTCTGTAGCCTCCAGACCCACAGTGGTTGTCTGAGGCAGAGTGAGGTGGAGATGTTTCTGCTGAGAAGTGATGTGATTACTGTTGTAGGAGTCCTGACGTTAGACTGAATAAATGACCCCCATCCTAGTAATACTAATTCCAGGAAGTGGGCTGCAATGTTAGATTGGAAATTGATTTCTCAAGGCATGTTTCCAGAATCCAGCCATTTACTCCATGTTTGGTTTCAGTAAGAAAGAATAACATTGGCAACAGCTGCTAGTTCTTGGGTGGATATCAACAACTAGAGTTTAAACAGTCTCTTGTTTAAACAGCAGGAAACTGCACAATTGAGCTAGACTTCCCAAGAGTCAAAGCCAGGTACAGAGGAAATGATCAAAGAGTCAAAGACATGTCAGGTAAAAATGAGGATTAACAGCTAGTTCAGAAGCTAAAGGAAGTGGCCTCAAACTACTGTGTTCCTTGGGGCATTGGAGTGGCCTCCTAGGTGACCCAGGGCTCAGGGGTTACTTAAGGCTAAGGGGTTGTGTATGTGTGTGTGTCATATAGGCCCCCTACTCAAGTACCCTGTCAATGTATTAAGAGGGAGCTAAGAGGCTGGCACCACGGCTCAATAGGCTAATCCTCCGCCTGCGGAGCCAGCACCCCGGGTTCTAGTCCCAGTCGGGGCGCTGGATTCTGTCCCGGTTGCCCCTCTTCCAGTCCAGCTCTCTGCTGTGGCCCAGGAGTGCAGTGGAGGATGGCCCAAGTGCTTGGGCCTCTGCACCCGCATGGGAGACCAGGAGAAGCACCTGGCTCCTGGCTTCGGATCAGCACAGTGCGCTGGCTGCAGTGGCCATTGGAGGGTGAACCAACGGTTAAGGAAGACCTTTCTCACTGTCTCTCTCACTGTCCACTCTGCTTGTCAAAAAAAAAAAAAAAAAAAACAACCAGGGAGCTAAGAGCCTCCCATGCCTACTCCAGTTGGAAGGGGAGGCAGGTTGCAGGCTGTGAGGGTCATAGGGGGTGATGTGGAGGAGGGTCAAACTGAGGCATGATCTCCCATCATGATTTCAGGAGTCCTTAGGGGTTTTTGTAAAAGAAAAAGAAAAACACAAAAAAGATAGGTAGAATATGATTTTAAAGCCAAGGATCCTATTGCTATGGTTTCTTTGGTTAAAAACAAAAAACTCAAATAACTAAAAACAAACTAAATGCTTTCTCAAATAAAATACTGCCTCACTTGTGTAAAAAGCCAGGCTTACCTTGACATATTGAACAAGACGCTCATTGACGTTTATTTTGTACGTTTCTAAGCCCAGTTCTTTAGATAAACGTAAGATTCTGTTCTGAGTCGGTCCCACATAAGCTCCACCAACATCCACATAATTGACATGTTTATTCTGCACAAAGAGAAAAATGGTAAGAAGAGTTTAGTTAAAATCTGGGAGAAAAATGTTTTTATGTCTCATGAAAAATGAACTCCATTTCTCTTTCACATTTAACTGGGCTGTACATCTCCTGCAGAAAAGTGAAACTGAAAACAGCGATCCTTTCTCATCCAACTCAAGAATTGGGGCACAGCCCTGTCTGACATTCTTCATAAGGCATCCCCATCAGAGCTACCAGGGAGGCCCATTCAGTAATACATGCATAAAGAATTAAGAACACTGGAGTGCATCCTGCTGGTTTAGATCCTTTCCAAAACATCTAGGTTATTATGTATGCTTTTCTCTGGGGATTTCTGGGGGAGCAGCTTCTTCAGTGGTTGGCAACTGCCCCTCATTACATAGAGAAAAGTAGGTCAATTCTTTCCAATGTTGGGCAATTCTTAATTAATGGAAACTCCATCTGAACAGATGCCAGGTGACAATATCAAAGTTGACATTTCAGGACTGGAAGGTTCATACTAGTTTTTATGGTATCTCTTCCCAAAATTATCCTAATTGATTATGCTATTAGACATAATTGTAACAATATTCAATTCAATGTATGTATATGACATTTTTGTCCCTGCTTCTTAAAGCCCTGTTTTTCTCCTTTAAGTCATTTGAAATACATGTGGGTACTTCAAGGAGTTTGTAGAAAATGCATAATGTAAAAAACTGTGAATGGATTTCAAAATTCTTTGGCATCAATATAAACTTATCTTTTATTTCCATTTCCATGTACTTTTTGAAGAATCTTAACAAATGCTAAGCTCTGGGTCTGGCGCTGTGGTGTAGAGGGAAAAGCTGCCGCCTACAGTGCCGGCATCGTATATGGATACCTGTTTGAATCCTGGATGCTCCACTTCTGATCTAGCTCTCTGCTATGGCCTGGGAAAGCAGTAGAAGGTAGCCCAAGTCCTTGGGCCCCTGCACCTGTGTGGGAAGATGCTCCAGAACTCTCTCTGTAACTCTTCCTTTCAAATAAATAAATATTTATTTAAAAATAAATGCTAAGCTGTAATTTCTAAGTATTTCCAAGATTCCTTTCTCATATATCCAAGGGGATAATAATATCATGCTGAATATACAGTAACAGTGTTCATATGGTGGTGACACATATAAATGGTGTGGTATGGCAAAGCAGCCCAGGCCAGTATCATAGATAGGGACAAGCATGTTGGAATTCTCATTTCCCTTATACAAAGAAACTTGTTCTTAACTGAAAATCTGCAACATGACTGATGTTCCTATTTAATAAGCAAAACGTTTTAGAGATAAGAAAGTAGAGCTAAGGGACAACTTAATAACAACCTCCAAAATGAAGGAATTTTTTTCTAGAAAATGACAGAATCATATCTAACAAAGACATATAGGCAGAATAGGTACCCATTCTTCCACACAACTGCATGCTGCCTTCAATTAGAATGTGAAAATGGAAGGGAGATTTTTGGAGGACATTCAGATTACATCTTATTGCCAGATAAAAGCTGAGATGTAATGTGTTCATAGGACTTACCTTAGACAGTGTGATACACAGTATGGGGCTAGAATCCCAGTCTCACTCCTAGACCAAAAAGCTCCTCAACAGACTGTACCTGATGGAGTACTCAGAAATTCCTCAAGTAAACTTAACCTGGGTTGACATTAAATTAGAGCAACCAAGCAAACATATACCCTAGAGCAACTCATCTGCAAGATCCCTTTGAGAACTTGTTAAAAATGCAGATCTAGATTCAGCAGGTCTGGGATGGGGCCTGAGATTCTGTATTTCTAACAAACTCTGGGGTGATTCCACAGACCACACATTGAGTAGCAAGGATGTATACTATGCTTAGATCTGAGCAAGGTGGAATTAGGCACAAGATAACATTCCTGAATATCTAGAAAAATGAGAAGCAAGTGATAGAGAGGTGGCATGGCATGGTGTGACTGAATGAGCTGGTTCAATATCCTAGTTCAGATGTTGTCCATCAGCTCTTCCAATATCAAGTTATATCCTCTTTCTCATGTCTATTTCTATTTTGCAGCCTGGAAATGTTAAATACTTGCTTTCCCAGGCTCCCCAGCAGCTGAGGGTAGCCATATGACCCAACTCTGGCAAGTGAGACTAAAGCAAATGTGTGTCAGGGTCTTCTGGTAAAGGAAAAGCTTTGTTGCCAACAAGGCTGGTGCTGCTCCTTCACTTTCTTTCCTGCTTTGAATGAGGATTTGATGCTTAAGAGTGAAAGTACCCATCTTGTTATCACAAGGCAGTAAGCCAACATCAAAGAATGAGAGCAGAAAGAAAGCAAGAGCCTGAAGCCTTGATGGCAAAGCTACACCAATTCCTGTACTAGACAGGATTCTCTCCCACCAGACTTCTGTGAAATAACTGAATGTTTCCACTGCTTAAGCCATTGTTCTAATCACTGCCTATGCCATTCTGTTACTAGTCTAACTGAAACATCTTTGAATTAGACAGGTGCTTCCTCTCCTTTCAGTCACTTTAATGGTCTTATTTTGTCCTTACTGACAATCTCCAGCTATTTAACACTGTACAGATTGAGCATCCCTAATCCAAAAATCAAAAATGCTCCAAAATTCAAATCTGAGCAACAACATGATGCCCCAAGTGGAACATCCATGCCATGAAACTTTGTTTCATGCATAAAACTATTTTTAAATGGTATAGAGGGGCAGGCGTTGAGGCTAGCAGTTATGCTAGTTCAGATAACCACATCTTAACACAGGAGTTTCTGGGTTTGATTTCTGGCTCCAGCTCCTGACTCCAGCTTCCTATTAATGTGGTTCCTGGGAATAGTGATGGCTCAAGTGGTTGGGATCCTGCTACCCATTTAGGAGACGTAGATTGAGTTCCTGGCTCACAGTCTCAGTTGTTGTGGACATCTGGGGAGTGAACCAGCAGATGGGAGCCTGTGCCCACTCTCTCTCTCTACTTCTCAAATATGTGTAAAAGGCTATGTGTACAGCCAGCGCCATGGCTCACTAGGTTAATCCTCTGCCTGCGGCACCGGCACTCTAAGTTCTAGTCCCGGCTGGGGCGCCAGATTCTGTCCCAGTTGCTCCTCTTCCAGTCCAGCTCTCTGCTGTGGCCCAGGAAGGCAGTGGAGGATGGCCCAGGTCCTTGGGCCCTGCACCTGCATGGGAGACCAGGAGGAAGCACCTGGCTCCTGGCTTCAGATCGGTGCAGTGAGCTGGCCATGGCGGCCATTTGGGGAGTGAACCAACGGAAAAGGAAGACCTTTCTCTCTGTCTCTGTCTCTCATTGTCTAACTCTGCCTGTCAAAAAAAATGCTATGTGTACAAAGTATGCATAAAACATAAATGAATTTCATGTTTAGACTTGGGTCCTATCCTCTAGATATCTTGGTATGTATATGTAAATATTCTAAAATCTGAAAAATAAAATTAGGAAATCTGAACATTTCTGATCCCAACCATAAAGGCTAAGGAATATTCAATCTGTATTTTTGTATACTAGCAAATGATCAAATTAATTACCTTTTAATACTATTTATTTTATTTGAAAGGCAGAGAGAGAGAGAGAGAGAGAGAGAGAGAGAAAATCAATCTTTTATCTGAGGGTTCACTCTCCAAAGGCCTGCAACAGTCAGGGATAAGACAGGCCAAAGCCAGGAGCACAGAACTCAATTCTAACCTCCCACATGAATGACAGGGACTCATCTACTTGAGCCATCACTGCTGCTTCCCAGGGTGTACATTAGCAGACAGTTTCAATTGGGAGCATGGCCAGAACTCAATCCAGGCACAGCTATATGGGATGCTTAACTGCTGTGCCAAATGTCCATCCCTCATTAATGAATGAACTGCCAAACACAAGGACTTCTGTTTTCATCCTATATCATCTGGCTCTGTTAAGCATCCCTTCCTCTTTGATTTGCTGACTTGTATAACATTGTTGTAGTCTGGTACTCCTCATATATCTCTACTGCTTCTCTGCCTCCTCTGTTTCTACCTTCCCTCCCCACACTTTTTATCTATGTGTGCCTCAAACTTCCATCTTTAGCCCTATTTCCTTCCCCACCCTACATCTTTTCCCTGTGTACTTTCATCACCTCCCACAAGATTCATCCACCTGCAAAAATTCCCTTGAACAGTAATAAACGATAGCTGGTATGCATTTTTCCAGAATAGTGATGTAAGCCCAAGTATAAACAGGCAGCAATGTAGTTTGAACTAGGCTTCCTTCTCATATCTAGCCACACTCAACCTGAGCAAAGAGTTTCTCTGGCAATAACACACCTGTTAGAAAGCAAAGGCAGGGGCCGGCGCCGTGGCTCACTTGGTTAATCCTCCACCTGCAGCGCTGGCATCCCATATGGGCACCAGGTTCTAGTCCCTGTTGCTCCTCTTCCAGTCCAGCTCTCTGCTGTGGCCCTCCCAGGCAGTGGAGGATGACCCAAGTCCTTGGGCCCCTGCACCGCATGGGAGACCAGGAGGAAGCACCTGGCTCCTGGACCTGGCTCCTGGCTTTGGACCGGCACAGTGAGCTGGCCGTAGTGGCCATTTGGGGGGTGAACCAAGGGAAGGAAGACCTTTCTCTCTGTCTCTCTCTCTCACTGTCTAACACTGTCAAATTAAAAAAAAAAGGCAAAGGGAAAAGTCACACCAAAATGCACTCTATTTGCTCATGCTTCCTTTAGCCACCACACTTTATTGTTGGATAAATAAACAAACTTATAGCAAGTATGTATGTGTGTGTGCGTATTGTGCGTGATAGTGATTCCCAGATTACACAAAAATATAACCCCATCTGAAGCACTACACATTCAATTTAGGTTCCTAGAATGAAAAATAGGATACTATATGAGTACTGAAGTTATTTTTTCACATTTGTTGTTTTTCACTATGATGTATAACAGATGCTGCCACTCTGCAATGACTGCTTATTGAAGAAAATGGACACTTATCTGATGACATAGTTTAGGAACAAATGGCTTACATACATGAACTCTTGAGATCTCCAGTCCCTGAAATTTTCAGTAGTGCCATTTAAGTTTGAGTGAAATATTATGAGGATATTTAATAAAATTCATGGAAAATCAAATTAAAATGTAAGTTATTTTGTTACAAAAAATGTTAAGCCATGCATAGTTTTTTCATATTATGTATTTTCCAAAAACTTTTTGAAACCCTGATATGTAAGTATTAAATCACTTACCCTCACAGTGTATGTTCTTCCTCCAACCCTGTCCCGGGCTTCTAACACCAAAACATTAACATCATATTCAGATAAGAGTTTGGCAGCCGCCAACCCTAAAGGGAAAATGAGAGGACCAGATTAATATCTAAATTCTAAACATCCAAGATTTAAACAGGTCTACACAAAAATGAATGCATGACGTCACACACAATCCATTGATTTTGCTTCCATTCTAATAAATTCCAATCACACCAATCAATTGAGATATCAATTTTATTACTTATCATAAAGGATTCCAAAATGACTAGCTTACTCATCTTGTATTTTAAGTTGGTTGACAGAAACAAATTACAATAATTTTAAAAATGTATATCTTACTTTCTGGTAAAATAAAACCCCAAACAGATAGTCTTTTGAGCCCTAAAGCAACCCCTATAGTGCCTCTCTTCTAGAAATCCTGTTCGTATAAACAGAAAAGTATATTTTACTGAAAACTTTCCTTGGTTAGACTAGCCCTCAGGATATCTATGCTTATTTTTCAACCTAAAAATCCTGTGGCATTTTGTCTTATGACTTGCATCTGGATCAAAAGCTTCTTAGATCATGTTTCCCTTACCACATTATCAATTACCAAAAGGCAGGAATCATGCTTCACACCTAATTCATTGGCTCAAAGCTGAGAACAGGTTTTCACCTGTAAATAAAAGCTTTTATAAAAGACAGAATATTTGAAACCTGACATAGTGATACCAAGAAAGTTGAGAAAATGTTCTAGATCATCATTATATCAAGGGCATGCGCTATCAACATGATTTATCCTTGATGTTCATCTTGATCTGATAATCTAGCTGAGGAAGTGTTTGTCATTTCTCCCCTCTATAAAGTTACTCTCTACCTATCTTTCATATTGTACTGGCTGAAAAGAAGGCTCTCTGTGGCATAAACTTACAGTGTAGGTAATTATGTGCTGTTTGAGGGTGTAATGTCTTACATAAACTGGAATTCTTCTGCACAGCAGATTTTTTTCTCTTCTCCCTATTTAGATTGGTATGAATTCAGACACTTGTTTTATACTTTGTGATATAATCTAATAATACATTATTTATTTTGTTACTCCAATTGTTCCACTTTTGGTCATTCAGAGCTTTTTCAGTGAGTTTATGCACCCCTTTGACATACCCTCATTATTTTGTGTGTGTCTGTAAGTAAACCACTTACTTTTTGGTACTACAAGATGCTCCAAGCTCATCTTGTCTTTCCTTGCCACAGACTTAGAATCAGCCACTTCTCAAGTTTGTTTTGGTCACTTTTATTGGGGAATGGTATTACAAATCAAGATCTGAGTTCTAAGGCTGGCGCCGTGGCTCAATAGGCTAATCCTCCACCTTGCGGCGCCGGCACACCGGGTTCTAGTCCCGGTCGGGGCGCCGGATTCTGTCCCGGTTGCCCCTCTTCCAGGCCAGCTCTCTGCTGTGGCCAGGGAGTGCAGTGGAGGATGGCCCAGGTGCTTGGGCCCTGCACCCCATGGGAGACCAGGAAAAGCACCTGGATCCTGGCTCCTGCCATCGGATCAGTGCGGTGCGCCGGCTGCAGCGGCGGCCATTGGAGGGTGAACCAACGGCAAAGGAAGACCTTTCTCTCTCTGTCTCTCTCTCTCACTGTCCACTCTGCCTGTAAAAAATTAAAAAAAAAAAAAAGATCTGAGTTCTAGGTGTGCTCACTGCTGGGACTTCTCAGCTAACAGATAAGGAGATGTCTGTTTGTGTACACTTATTTTTAAATCTACATGTATTTTTATACTTCAATTGCTATGTTAGTACCTAGTTATCTTTGTATTCCTCATTACAAAAAAAAAGAAGAAAGAAGCAGCTTATAGAGATAAACATAATACAAAAGAGGAACACTAGTTAGAATATTAAAGAAAAATAAGAATGGCAACAGAGATAAAAATAGTAAAATGATACAAATGATAATGGTTGAGGAGAGGAACTATTCCAAAAGATTTTAAAACACAGGAATTTGATGGCTCATTTATAATGGTATATATCCTAAAGACACAAAGAACTGCAAATGTTTCTCTCAATAATCAGTTAGTTGGTGTTAGCATTTGTATTGTTATCTTGAGGCTATTAACATATGCAGTGTGGGATAAAGCAAGTGGGTAATCAGGCTAGTATAACTGAGAAGTAGGATTTGGGGCATAGGAATAAAGAAATTCAGATGTAGAACAATGAGATTAAGTAAAAATCCTGTGTTTCTACATATGAATTTGAATCCCTGGTAAGATCTCTGCAAATATCCTATCTTTTAAAAAATATATTCTCATGGGGCTGGTGCTGTGGTGTAGCAGGTAAAGCCGCCACCTGCAATGCTATCATCCTATATGGGTGCCAGTTTGTTCCTGGCTGCTCCACTTCCAATCCAGCTCCCTCCTAATTGTGCCTGGGAAAGCAGTGGATCATGGCCCAAGTCCTTGGGCCCCTGCACCCACTTGGGAGACCCGGAAGAAACTCCTGGTTCCTGGCTTCAGATCAGTCCAGCTCCGGCCATTGCAGCCATTTAGAGATTGAACTGCAGGATGGAAGACTCTCTCTCTCTCTCTCTCTCTCTCTCTCCCTCTCTCTCTCTCTTCCTTTTTTTTCTCTCTCTGTAACTCTGCCTTTCAAGTAAATACATCGATCTTTAAAAAATGAAAAATATATTCTTTATTTCTGTCCAATGAAAAGGACAAAAAAATTTAACTATCCAGTAACAATGAACACTCCAAATACCCAGACTAAAGTTTCCAAAAATTTAATCCCCAAAACAGTAAACCACAGCTTGTCATCTTTTCCAAGATCTAACGTAGATGAATCTGGTTGGAGGATAGTGGGTAAAGCTGCCGCCTGCAGTGCCAGAATTCCATATGGGTGCCAGTTCAAGTCCTGACTGCTCCACTTCAGATCCAGCTCTCTGCTATGACCTGGGTAAGCAGCACAAGATGGCCCAAACTCTTGGGCCCCTGCACCCGCGTGGGAGACCCGGGAGAACCTCCTGGCTTCTGGTTTTGGATCGGCCCAGCTCTGGTTGTTGCTGCCATTTGAAGAGTGAGCCAGCGGATGGAAGACCCCTGTCTGTCTCTGCCTCTGCATCTCTATAACTCAGCCTTTCAAATAAATAAATAAATCTTTTTAAAAAAGATGAGTTTGGGACATTAAGATATATTAGAAAGCAAGAAGGTTGTCATAGTCTACTAGGATTATGTCAGAAAGACTTAAAAGTCTACCTGATATAAACTCTCACTGGCCAAAGATGAAGTCTTAATAAAATTGAACGTACTTTGTAACTCCAAACAAGTGTAAAATCAGAATTAAAATGCAGTGAGTGTGGTTAAAAGCTAATTGCAGATCTCTTGCTTCTGTACATATTAGCTTTGCTTGCTAATGTCTAAGGGTGTATCTTGTGAAACTATGTGGGCCCAAATTCCCAGGAACTAGGTTGACTGAAATGTGTCCTTTACTGTTATCTTACCACCATATCTTGGATCTGTTATTGGGTTTGTTATTGTTAACTGTTATCTTACAACCATATTCTGGTTTTCTTTTTATTGTTCACTGCATACCAGGGGTCTGGTTCGAAATTGTGAGCCCTAAGTGGACAGAATACTAAAAAAACTGTGTAACCCGCTGTTGGGGGCTGCACTCTGGTAAGGAGTGTTGGTCTCGATCTGTGGCCAGTCCCGATTGATTACCTTGCCTCTCATTTGTCTCTCAGTTGCTTCTCATTTTCAATAAATTTCATGTGTGACTGTCGCTAGTTTTTGTAACATTTTGTTTTAGCTGATGAGTGGATGCAACACAAGTTTACTAAATGGGGTTCAGTGCCAATAATAAACTATCCAGGAGGTTAAAGGGGGAAATCGGAGTGGGGTGACCTGAGCCAGCACAATGACCACACCAGTGACAAAGGTGTTTTGCAGTTTGGCATTTAAGAATATAACCAATTGAAATAAAAAAAAAAAAAAACTGGCAAAAGTGGTCGTTTCTACATTATAGGAAAATGATTGGCCCTACCTCAGCAAGGAGCATTTGAACTTTAAGAAATAAGTAATATGTTTAAAACATTTTAAAAGAATTTCAGAAAAGTGATTTTTAAAAAATCTTGGAATTTTAAGTGGGAAGATTTTGGTTATTTAGAAAAATCCACTGTAGTACACCTTCCCTATTGACAGGTTTGGCATGCTCAGATTCAAGTAATCATGATTTGAAAGTGTATTTAGGCATTTTTCTTGTCTTTGATCTCCTAAATAATACAGTGTAGCAACTATTTACATAGTATTTACATTGAATTAGACATTATAAATAGTCTAGAGAGGATTTACATGGGAGCATGTGCAGAGGTTATATGCAAATATGGAATTCCAGGCTCCTGGCCATTGCGCTCATTTGGGGAATGAACAATGGATGGAAGATCTCTGTCTCTTTCTATCAGTTTCTTTCCCCCTAACTCTGACTTTCAAATAAATAAATAAATCATTAAAAATATTATATCACAATTATCAACCCCACAGATTATTTAAGAGTTTTTTTCATAATTGTTTTAAGATTTATTTGTTTACTTGAAAGAGTTACAGTGGGGGAGGGAGGGGAGAGAGAGAGAGAGAGAGAGAGATAAAGGGAGAGAGATATCTCTTTCATACACCGGTTCACTCCTCTGATGACCACTCTGAAGCCAGGAGCCAGGAGTTTCATTCAGGTCTCCCATGTAGGTGGCAGGGGCCCAAACACTTGGGCCATCTTCTGTTGCTTTTGCCAGGCCATTAGCCGGGAGATGGATAGGAAGTAGAGAAGCAGGGACACAAACTTGTACCATATGGGATGCTGGTGTTGCAGGTGGTGGCTTTATCCACTATACCACAATGCTGGACCTGCCACATTCTTTTAAAATATTTTTATTTTACTTTTGGCAAACAGAAGAAAAATATTAGAAAATATTCTTAAGTCTGAAAGCCAGTCATTTTATTTTACAAATAAAATATAGCGACTATAAAATTTTTAGTCAATTGTTTTGTTTTTCACACTTATTATAAAAGAGAAAATCCTTATCTTAAACTTATTTCATTTTGTTCCAAAGT